ATATATATATATATATATATATATATATATAAAAAAAAAATATATATATATATATATATAAATCAAATTGTGTGTGCGCAGGAGTTTGGTTTGGCTCAGCTGCGGGACGGCGCCTCCAGTCACAGTCTGCGGTCGATTTTGTGTGTCCTGACGCTGCTCTTCTACAACACATACATCTCTCTGATTCTGGGTAAACACACACACACACATACAAAGTACACTAATTTAAGCATTGATTTTAAAACATTGTTTTTTTGGTCAATTATTATTAAAATGATTTATTTTCAGAGATATTGTGTGACCCTGGAGCACAGCCTATATGCACTTCTCAATATTCAGATTCTTATTTAACCCTTCAATATAATGGACATTTGACCCATATGACTGGGTTTGTGGCCAGGGTCATCATGTGAAAACTATTGAAGCTTACTCTAGATTTGAACTCGAGGCTGATGCTGTTTTGTGTGTTAAATGTGTGTGTTGTGTTACAGTGTGTGTGTTGTTGTGTGTGTTATTCAGGCACTGGAGAGGGGAATCTGGTGGAGGCCGAGGCTCTGCTGGAGCCGTATATAGAGAGATTTCCCAGAGTGAGAACTTAAACACACACACACACATAGACACAGACACACACAAGTTCATAATCACATTTCTAAACACTTTTATTCGCTTATATTTATGCATAATTTCAGTGGAAAGTAAATCATTGTAATGGGCTACTGTAAAAATTCTATATTAAAACTGAATGCAAACATATTTAAATAGAGAATTATAATTAGAGATTACTCAAACATATCAACTATAGCAATCAAACCTCAAATAACATAAGATTATAAAATAAGAGAATATTAGAAAACTTAAATACTTCTTGTTTAGCATTCACAACTTTGTTTTAAATTGTACAGATTTCCCGATTTCAATTAAATACACTTGAATTATGATTAGTACAATTAAAATAAATTATTTACAGAAATATTAATTCACAAAAATCTAAAATAATTATGAAATTAAGAAAATCAAATATTTAATCGAGATGTGACTATTTACACTCACCGGCCACTTTATTAGGTACACCTGTCCAACTGCTCGTTAACGCAAATTTCTAATCTGTTACTCAGATGGCAGCAGCTCACTGCATTTAGGCATGTAGACATGGGCTGTTTCTCAATATGCGTTCTTCAACGATCTTGCGTCCTCGTGTTCGGAGGGCGTGAAAGTTCCCAGGTCCATTCATTCATTCATTTTCTTGTCGGCTTAGTCCCTTTATTAATCCGGGGTTGCCACAGCGGAATGAACCGCCAACTTATCCAGCAAGTTTATTCGCAGCGGATGCCCTTCCAGCCGCAACCCATCTCTGGGAAACATCCACACACATTCACACACACTCATACACTACGGACAATTTAGCCTACCCAAGTCACCTGCAGCATGTGTTTGGACTGTGGGGGAAACCGGAGCACCCGGAGGAAACCCACGCGAATGCAGGGAGAACATGCAAACTCCACACAGACACGCCAACTGAGCCTCGAACAGGCGACCTTCTTGCTGTGAGGCTAAAGCACTACCTACTGCGCCACTGCCTCGCCCAGTTCCTGGATGTGTTCTTGATATTGAAGATGCATTGATGCAGACTTTACTCGTTTAAGATGTCCCAGAAGTCATTGTGGCCGAATAAAGGATTTGGGAAGTGCAGCATGTTATCTAGATTTATTATCAAAGTTCAGAGAGATAATTGACTTGTCTCAGGAGTTTTCCTAAATGAAACGTTGAAAGTGAACATCACCATGAAAATCTTAATAAAAGCATATTAAGGGAAACATATTAAGGGTGTTTATTATTGATTATAAGGTCTTTATGTATTGTGAAAAGGGGAAAAACAGTAAATCGTTGTATGAAGGTAATGTTTTAAATAATTTCTTGTTAAAACGCGTAAAGTGTGACCGTCAGGAAGAACCAGAAATATCTGCAGCATCTCATTTCTCACAGGACGCGCTCTGTGTTCTTGCGGTTTCCTGAGTGTGTTCTTCCGAGGTAACTTGGCTAGACCGGTCTCCACAAGAACGCAAGTGCATTCTTGAAATTGAGTAGCAGCCAAATATTGAACTTCAACTATTGTCAGTATTTTAGTACTTCTTAATCACATATTCTGCATGATCTTATTCTACATCCCTAATCCTACCCAATTATTACCTTAATAAGCAGCTAATTAGTAGTTTATTAAGGCAAAAGTCATAATTAATGACTTATTAATAGCCAGAGGTGTACCTTAAGTGTGACCAGTTTATTTCCAAAATGCTTGTTATTGATTTGCTGGTTTCCATTTGTATGTTTTGAACTCCATAATGTAAATAAACGACCAATCCACATGTGATCAGCCCCGCCTTCCTTTCTAATGAAGCCACGCCCACACATCTGCATCCAATCAATGACCAGCACAAAGAGCCAAACCCCGCCCTACATGTTCTTTTCTGAATAACAGATGATGTGGTAAAGTCTAGATGTGATACAGCTGCGTATATGCACGTCAATATGGCATTATTTTTATGACACTATATATCAGCAATGAATATTTTTACAGTGCTGTTAATAAGATTAACAAAAGGCATTAGCAAAATACAATTTATTAGGTAATTTAATAAATAACAAATAGTACTCGATACAACTACTGTTTTTACTTTACTGCGACGGTTAAGTTTAGGGTTGGGCTAGGGGTAGAGGTTAATAAAATATAATAAAAGGCAAATTTCATAAATAATATATATAATTCCATTCCATAATATAAATAATAATGCCATGAATGTGCTGTACAGTACGAATGAAACATGTTTGTAGTTTATATCAGTCCTGCTTCTTTACTTGATGTTTATTTTCCTCCAGGGCGCCATCATCCTCTTCTACTCTGCTCGAATCGCCTTACTGAGGGGAAACTTCGAGAAGGTGAGGGATTGTTAATGATATGCAAATGATATACATTCATTAAATGTGTTCATTACATGGCTCTCTGGAATACTCTAGCCTGATTGGTAAATAACGACAGATTAAACTAATAATGCAGGCTCATCCAGATACTACTATTGGCTATTGGTGAATCCATATGTCTGATATATATATATACACACACATATATATGTATATATATA